TCTACAATGGCACCATATACACTCCTCCCATTTCCAAATGCCTTCATGTTTCTTATCTATAGTTAAATATTTAGATTTATATTTGCGAAGTTAATTTTATACATCAACCTGTAGCCAAAGCTGTTTTAGTCAACACAGTTTTTCTATAACATCAAAACCTAATTTTTAATAAAAGTAAATGTGGGGAAGGCTCAAGGTCATCTGCTCCCCACCATGGATGAAACTTTTACAGTAACTTTACTTTCACTTTTTGTGACACTTTTACTTTCACAGTTTTACAGTAAATTTGATAAGCAAAGACAAACACCAAACAACACCATAAGAAATTACAACAGAACACAGAGATAGAGAACTGAGAAAAGTGAAAGAGATAGCTACACAGCTGCAAAAATCCCTGGACCCCTGTTTTCAACAAAACAGCCCTTGAACAAAATTTTCCTTAATATCAGCAAGGGAAAATTCCTTCTTAGCAAGAACAAACATACTTTGCAGTCCAGTTTCATTGTCATTTGGAAAGTGACTTCAAAATGGAAAATATTGAAAGAACATAATTCAGCGACCAGCTTTGTTCAATTTTGCAAGACTTTTGTGATCCTGTATCCACTTGTACATTGCATGGATGTCAAAATCTTCTAGTAAGCTTGGCTTCACACCTGCATATGAGCTATACTTTCTTCCAGGAATGACCTGAAGTGCAGAATTCTTTATCAATTCCCCAACTATTTTCTTCAAGTCTCCTGAAATGTTAGCTTTGATGTGCTTTCCAGATCTTCGTAGAACATTGCAGCTGGAGTCAAAGTTCTCCAACATCTTCTTGTTCACTGTGAGTGCCTTGCAGAATCTGTCAACAGCCCTTGTGTTTGTTGCATTTGGCCCAAGGTTCCTGATAACACTCTTCAACAAGTTGTTGTAGTGCTCCATAGCTAGATCCAGGGGTATGTTTCCTCCACGACCATGTCTACTCTTGCTGAACCTGTACCAAATCAAAGAATGGGCATCTCTTTCCGATAGGATAGCATAAACCTGGAACAACAAGTAGAGACCCTCAAGTGCATATTTCCTGCTGCGGGCACCATCTTGTTTCATATAAAGTAGCATGAACTTCCAACATCGCACAACTCTTAGTCCATCACCCTCGGAGACAGCATCAAAAAAATTCATGATCACCATGCCAATATCGAGCAAGGCACATTGATAATTGAACATGTCATCCTTAACAATAGCAGATGTATTAGGAGCTTCTTTGTGGAGTCCATGCATCTTTTCGTGTTCAATTCTTCTTTTCCCGTCAAATTTGAAGGTTTGTAAACAGCCATGTTTTCTGCATAGATACATTCCATCATCATCTTTCACATTTGTTGCCAGTAACCAGTCTTCATATATTTGTCGATTAACAATGCTTGCATTGCGCTCCTTCCTGATGATGAAATTATCTACAACTTTGGCTGACAGGCTGTCTAACAACTCTTTCTTTTCTTTGATGCTCATCATTGATACATTATCAAGAACTGTATTTTGATCAGGTTCATCATCAACATCCTTGATTCCAAGTATCTCACAATAAGCAGCAAGAACATGTGCAGTGACTTCCAAAATGAAGAACTGTTTGCAACCTTCTACCTTCTGGCTTACATCAGTTCTGACATTGCGTCTGTTGATAAACACTTTGTCTGCAAACATGGTACATTTGTCTGAGCTTGACTTTGGAGAATATAGATGGTCAAATGCAACCTGGAAAAACAATCCATGAGCATAAAGATACCCCAAACAGTAGAGATTTTCAACACATTTTCAAACATATGTTTATTAAAAGTCTCAGAAGTTGATTCCTGAAATCAACATATCATATGAGATGAAAATGTGCTCTTGATAAAAATGAAGTGCAAAAGACAAATGAAATACAATCTCCTAACTTTCGGCATTAATACTTGAAGATTGGCTTTAAATTTGATCTGCATTATCTGCATAAATAGAATATCCTGAGTAATTGGTCTCTCAAAAATAATTCATTCCTCTAGAAGAAGGAAGTCAGCAACTTCAAGGTGCAACCCATCAAGCCTTTCCTTTTGTGTGAAACCATTTGCAAGCTGCAAAAGGCAACTAACACCACGTTCAACAGTAAGCTGTTCCCCAACAACACCTTGCTCTACAAACTCTGTTGGATTTGTACTGTCATTGCATGAGGCATAGTCATGCAGCTTAGTCATGACCTTCTGCATTCCACTGGTATCATTTTGATCTTCATAAATCATCTCAGCAAACACCTTGGAACAAAGAGAGGGAATGTGTTGTTTGCATTTTATTACATCAAGTTACATCTAAAACACAACACTGCACATTATTAGAAAAGACTGTAGTTAAAAATTTCTCAACAGAACTCGATTTTATCATTTAAGCAAAAATAAATCTTGATGGTTTCTAGATAAATAGCAAAAAACTTTCTTACAATGATTAAAACAATTTGTTGAAAAGCTGTAATGATACTATAAAACTACTGAATCATATAAATATAAATAAATATATAATGAGCTCCCTCAATAAATTTGTATTAAAATATTGAATATAAGCTCAAAAAATATATCTATGTACTTTAATTTTTTAAATCTTAAATATCTACCAGCTGTGGTGGTGCACCTCTGTACATCACTTATGATTTAACCAACTGAAGTGAAAATAAAATGATTCACAAAAAATGAATACTTACAGAACTAGTTGGCATGGCCATTTTTGAGGAATATTGATGCACTATGTGGTTATTTGCAACCTTTTCCAATTGTTTCAAACATTTTATACTATCCACAGCCAAACGACCACAAAGTGCTATGTAATTCAAGCGTTGCTGGTTGTGCTCCATACTGCTTGGTATACAAAGACCATTCTCTAACTTGGCCAGATTTTTTATTGAAGGCTTTTCTGAGTGCAAGCCATCTCCCAAAATCCGGTTCTCTGTAATCATGAGCCCTACCCAATTCACAACTTTCTTTTGATTCTCAGCTGTCATTTGGTGAGGTTCAGAGCTGAAGTTGAAATTGTCAATGATCAGTTTACGTCCAGAGTAGGAACTGCTTATTGGATTTTTCACCATTTCCCCCTCATTTGAAATCTTCTCTACAATGTCTCGCAAATGATCCCTCCCATACTCATCCAATTTCTTGTATAAGAATGTGTGAGAAACAGCCAGCCTTAGTGCACTCAGCCGCAACAAAGTTGCCTATTCAGAAAAAAGTGTATTACAATTGTATGCAAGTAACAATCAAGTAATGGGAACAATAAAACAACTATAAACATCAGTAATAAAACAACCCAGTGACCTACAGCACATATATGACCAGCAACACAAAACAATATTATACTGAGTAGTTAGCATTAAAAAAATTAAACAATTGGATATAATGGATAACAGATGTAATTGAAAGATAAGGAAATGACAGTGTAGCATGTGGGAAAGGTTAATTGTTTCGAAATTTTACTATTTAAGTGCAAGGTGAATATTCTTCAAAATTTTTAACTTTTCTTTTTATCTAAAATTGTTTCGGACAAAAATTTTGTTTGCTAACTGTAACCAACTAGATATATCATTTTTGCACTTTTGTTTCCATCTTCAGAGCAACTGACAATAAATATATATACATATATAGGCAACAGCTTCAATTTTACTGTCTATAGATTTGTTATACTTTCTCCCTTGAGTTAAAAAAAACGAATTACTCACCATAAAGCCAGAATGTTGCATCATCATGAAAATGATCAATTGGACTGCAGTCATCCGCTTGGATCTATTTTTGAGACATACTGCTGCTGCCATGCCTACGGCTGGGGTGAAAAACAAGTCATCCTCCTTTCTTTTTGAGCTCCGCCAACACATGGTCATCAGGACAGACCTAGATAAAGGCATTTGTTGCTTCAGTTCTTTATCTAGTTTGTCAAACGTGAAACCAAGCATGTCGTCTTTGCCAGTGAGACGCAAGCAGTTTCTTGCTGTGTAGATTCCATCGGCTCTCTTCAGCTTAGAAGGACTATTTCTCAAGATTTTCGCAGAACGGATCGAATCTCCAGGCTTTTCTTTGGTAGGGAGACAGTACTGCACACACTCTTTGTCCACTTCTTTGCAAAAGGCTTCAATGATGTGAGCACGTAAGCTAGGATGCTTCCAAACAGCATATTAACTCCAGCTGCTTGTAAGTGCCACGACAAAGCATCGCACCCACTGAGATCAGATCTTTTGGCAGATTCTTCTCTCTTGTTTTTGACTTCCAGCAAACTTTGACTGACACAGTGGTTACATCTTCCTTGCCTGGTGGAAGTATTTTACAATCAGTTGTCGACGCCACAACAACCGGCAAGAGTGACTTTGACTCAAAATGCTGTGCAAGACCTTCCAAGGCTGGACGCTTTGCTCCGACAGGAGTGCTGGTGACTGTTATAGATGGACTTGTACAGATGTCGTGGTTCACAGAGACAGGCCCCGCAATTGTACCATCAGGACTTTCTGGTTGTAATGTCGCCACTGCCGTGAGACTAGGTTTTTGAATCTTGCTGTTAGAACACAAGGCTCTTTTTGTCATTCTAGATTTGACAGGAAAGCCGCAGCGATTAGCACCATCGATATAATGTTTTGCTGCTTGATCCGCTAGAACGTTTACCTTTTTCCGTGCAGAATCTAACTTCTGCAGCAACCTGAGACACTCACGACAAATGTACCGCGATTCCGGCCTAAATTCGACAACAACATCAAGCTCCTGCAACGCGTTTGCAACATTGAACTTACTCTTAGGGCCAACCACCAAATTAAAATCACGACAATTATCCGTTTTGGATAGTGTTTTGAAGCAAAGAATGCAAGACATCATTGACAAGATAGGATACTGTTTGAATGCCTCGTGAAATTGAAGAATAAATTTAACTGCGCGCGATCTATGCGGTTAATTTTTTTGGAAACGAGGTCATGATTTTGCTGACTCAGGGAACAAGCCTTTTGACTTTAATTCGCAGACTCTACTCTTCGGGATAGAAGTGTCTGAGGCTGCGCGCAGGCTACTTCTCCGAGATCAACCCAAGGTGAAGGTTGTTAAGAAAAGTAACAACTCCATTTTGTGCAACTCCAACCGAAACTTGAATGAGTTCATACCTCTGTATGTTGCACTTTGTTGGCTCATTAAACTGGGTCTTCTATGTCAGTGCAATCAACAATAATCCTACAGTGGGTGAAAAGGAAAATGGTGAGCAAAATTCATTCTTCTCCCTAGATGGGATTGATAGCATGATATGTTTGAACAGCAATTTCTGGAGAATTTGAACGAATGTAGTGTTTGAAATTGTAGCAACACAGCAAGAAAAAAGTTAAGCCAACTGTAGGTTGTTTCGTGAGTGTAATGAAAATTTGATTCTCAAATGAAATTCTGACAACTTTCCACCCTGCATAATACACCATGGATTCTTTAAATCTTCCTGCATGACGGACAACAATTTGGAAAATTTCTTTTGTGGGCACTCTAGTTTCCATGTGAAGAGTGCATGCAGGATAATGTTTTTTGTTGTATGAGGCTTCTTTTTTTCTCTCTGCTAAGTCATTCCTTGTTTGTTCCAGCTCAGCCTTAAGTATTACTTCGTTAAGGGGAAGAACATCTTGATCAACAACTGGTTGTGGCTCATTTTCTCGATACCTAGATACAATATCTGCAATTGTTGCTTCATCGCTCTGTTTTCTTTTTTTGACCTGTGGCTTGGGCATGAATTTCTGCCATAAATTTCGGGGCCAAAGCACTTCTCTCCATTTCTGAAATGACAGTTACAGACCCTTAAGTGGGTGCTGGGCTCTCTATCCTCTCTCCTATATAGGAAATAAACTGAACCACATTTTACCAGAAGTTTATCAAAACAACTAAAATTTACTTTTCAGATGTTTCTTTTGACTCGTATAAAGGCAAGTTTTGAAACTCAACTCATTTTCTTAATTTTTAAAAATTGTCTTGTTATTAAAAGCAAATTCAATATATTTGAGCACAGGTGCTGACTTTCTCTAGAGGTTTTGATTTTCCAAGACTTAAAATGAATTTTTAACTAAAAAGGGGCTCTTTTTGTTTAAAAAATGTTTATGGCACAATTCAATCTCAATTATTGACAAGGAACCACGCCAAAACATTACATTTGATTGTCCTGTCACAGGGCAGGGGGAGGGGAGCTTTCACCCTAAATCCCTTACTTAGTCTGTACCCATGTAGTTTAAGTGCCTCAATAGTGGCGGAAATTAGGATCAGGTTACTTTTTGCCTAAAGACCTCCATGTTGCATTGAAACAATTAGGGTATGCTATGCAAAAGCAGGTTGTGTATCGATCTAGACCATGGTCGAAATTCACATCGCCGGTTTTGAAAATAACGAATTAATCTAATGTCAATAGCTTCACCCATCTTTTGTTTACCTGGAAATTTTTTCTTTGCTTGGGAATCCAAAGAAACCACAGTAGTGCGATTCCGACTGGTGGTTGCAATCAGGAGTGAAGACTTGAACCCTTGTTGCACTTTGTAAATTAACTGTATGCTCCACCAAATATTTGTTTTCTTTCGGCAAATCGATTAAAAGGCTTCAAGGCATACTAAATGTTTCAAATTGATTATTTTGCTAACACGAAATACACGTTTAAAGCTGACCTTTCATTATGAACTATTCACTTCATATACAGAGTAGGGTTTGTTTAAAACAGAAAATTTGGTTGCTATGCAACGGGACGTCACACTTTAGTTCCCTATAGTGATTCCGACAAAGAAAATTGTAAGAATTCATGCCTTATTCCACTAGACACAACATTATAAAAAAACCATCCTCACTTTCTTTTTAATGTTTGTCTTCAGTGAAGTGTAACAATTAGGATGGCTTCAAGAAAGCAAACAAGCAATGATGCTCACAATGCTGATTTTTCGCCTCTCACTTGTCACGATTTTGGCAGTTGTGGGGATCAGGGTTGCCTATGTATGAAAGCCAGATATACCTACAGCGCATGCCTTTTCTCCCTACTTTCCCCTCACGCACTTTTCCTCAATTATTCCTACAAATCCCTACAATTTCGGATTTATACCCACGAAAACAACCCACATAATGAAAAAAAAGTCAATCCGCTTTGCAACCTGTCTATTTTAATGAAGCTGTCATAACTTTAGAATGATACAATATAATAATATGATGCAAGTAGCAGTTTAACAAATATAAACCAAAGAAAAGGCAATCAATCTACTCAATTAACACAACAAAAAGGGAAAGTTGCTTCAGGTAAATAGTCAGTCAAACTGTTCAATGTTCTCAATGTCTTCCAGGTCATTGTTATTGTATCTTTCCATATATGATTCTCTGGCACTGGAATAGAGGGATGATAGCCTAGCACTAACTTCAAAACATCAAAAAATTTCATCATTTTTGACAATATGTGGAGAGCATTTTTCTTGCTTTCAATTTTAAATATTTTATGAGTATTTTGAGAGTATTGAGTGCGTTAGATTTTCAGTTATCCAGAATTTCTGATTATCCACACAAATCTTGAATCATGTGTCCCTAGAAATCTGAATATTTGAATAAGTACTGTACTATTTATTACAAACAATCACACAAATGTCAATCACAACAAAACAACACAAAAATCACAACAATTCCTCCCCCCTTATAATAAGACTACATGTTCACTACAACTAAGTTCAATAACTTCCAATAACTTCTTTTGACCATTAGGCCTAACACAATCGAATATATATAGAAATATGGATTTTTTGTTTTACGCAAAGTTCCTTTCGGTAATTAATAACAATAATTATAAATTGCCTCATCTGAAAGTTATATTGAGGCTGCTTCGTTGTCATAATCATCATCATCATCTGATTCGATATCAACTGTGTCATTTTCTTTGTTGCCATCAGACTTGAAGTAAAAATTTAATTCTGATTTAGCGAAGTTCTTTGTTACTTTCCTCAATCGATCTCTTGGCAGCCATCCCTTGTCTTCTCAATTAAAACTTCATAATAAGGATGCTCATTCCTGACTTCTTCATATGGTCCAATCCATTTTGGCTTCAACTTAGCGTTTTCAAGTTTTGGTAGATATATAAGAACCTTATCTTCAACAGTTAATTCAAAGTCAATTATCTTCGTGTCAATATATGTTGCAGCTTTTGCTTGTCCGGCCTTCATCTTTTCATGAGCAATATATATTTTTCAAAATTCACAATTAAATTGATGCATTGCAAGGTTTAACTACCAAAATATGACATCAAGTTCCCATAAAGAATATCAAAAGAAATTCTGTACTTTCTTCCCCCAAAGATGCGTTTAGCTGGACTATATCTCCTTGAAGTGTGGCAGAACTTCTCTCATCCACAAATCCCAGCCCTTAGAATCCTCTATGTGAGCAGCAAAGTATTGTTTTATAGTGTTATTTGATTGTTCTGTTAATCCATTTGCTTGTCGCCTGTACCCTGTTTTTTAAGTTTCTTTACCCCAAGTTCTTTCATTAGCAATTGAAATAATTGGGCTCATCAGCAGGGTCTTGATCTGAGTAAAGTTTCAAAAGTATTCCAAAGATTTTGAAGATAAATTCCTCAAACAAAGGTTACAACAGATAATGCATTTACGCATTTATAAAAAGAAATTTTATGTTGCTGGCTTCTTTCTTTTCCGAGATTCTTGCTCTTTGTTTTTGTCATCACTACCTATCTCTATGACGCAGAGTATTTTTCCAATGCTTCAGAATGTCACCAAGTACGTACGAAGAACTTTTTACCTGGGTTGCTCCTTTAATCGCAAAACAGTGTACAAAAATAAGAGATCCGATTGGTCCAAGCGAAAGGTTGATGGCCACTCTCAGGTACCTTGTTACTGGCGATGCACAGTCAACAATTGGAGCAAGTTACAGGATAAGTCCTACTACGATGGGCAGAATAATAAATGATTCGTGCCCGGTGATCTGGACTGCATTGAAAAGGGAAGGTTTTTTGGGCCTTTCCTGAAAAAGGAAGCAAATGGAGGAGTATTTCCCAAGGGTTTAGCACAATGTGGAATTTCCCACATTGCCTAGGTGCACTGGACGGAAAGCACGTTGTCATGCAGGCCCCTCACAATTCTGGCTCTGCATTCTTTAACTACAAAAAATCCCATAGCATTGTTTTGCTAGCTATCTGTAATGCACAGTATGAATATATATTACTAGATATAGGTGATTCTGGCCGCCAAAGTGATGGATCAGTGTATGCAAATAGTCATATGGGTTATGCAATTGAAAATAATAAACTTAATATTCCAGTGGCTGACAAAGTGAGTTGTAATTTCAATATTAAACTACCATATGTTTTTGATGCGGATGATGCCTTTGGACTTAAATCTTATATGATGAAGCCTTACCCTGGTCAAAATCTTGCAGTCCAGGAACGCATATTTAATTACAGACTGTCAAGGGCAAGGAGAGTGATAGAGAATGCATTTGGGATTATGGCAGCTTGTTACAGAGTTTTTAGAAGGCCTATAATTGGGACTGTAGAAAAGGTTAAAAAGGCAACAAAAGCATGTGTTTGCTTGCATAATTTCCTTCTTAAAGCAAACACTGGGAACAAAGGACAAAGGGAAAGCAACTATTGCCCACCAAATTTTGTAGATGGATAGAGAACCTCATGGTGTCAGACTAGGAGATTGGAGAAGCCAAGTTACAGAAAAAACTGGCCTGCAACCATTGTCTAATGTTGGCTCTAATAACTATTCAATGGAGGCAAAAACTGTTAGAAATATGTTTAAACATTACTTCAATTCAGAAGTGGGCTCAGTGCAATGGCAAGAAGATGTTGCAATGCAAATTGTTTGAGACCAGACCATGTTTTTTAGTCAAGTTATTATCAAAAGTTTAGGGTGTGACCAGCATAACTTGTAATAAAAATAACTTAACAGTCATTCTTAAACAATAAGTAAGAGGTAGAAAATTCAAAATGAAAAGAACTTGAATGTCTAGACAACATTTTTGTGATCATAAACATGAAAAAGTTAAAATTTACAGCAAGAATTCTCCTTGAAGAGATCAATCACAGTGTTTATGTTGAATGCATGAAAAAATATTCAAAATTAATTTAAAAAGTATTTTGTTTTGTTGTTAATTTTCATTATTTTACTGGTATTTTCATTAAGGTTAAATAAAAGTTGGCTGATCTGAATCTTTGCAAGTCTATTTTCCTTTTTTGGAAGCTCTCTTAAAATGGGGATGAGACTTCGGCCGTAAAGGGAGTCTTCATCTTTTTTTTGTTCCAGGGTACTCTTTATCAGCTTGTCACATTCCCTTAAAGAATTGGATAGCAATGCATCTGCTTGCTCTAGCTTTCTTTTTTTTTCTTGCTGGTGTAGAGCACACAGGGCTGGCTTCAAAATTGACCCCACTCCCTGAATAAGCTGCAGCAACATTGCTCTCTGTAACTTGGTTGGCTGTCTTCTCTACCAAGAACAGCATCTGGTCGAAAAATTTACACTGTGGGAGAGAGGATGCTGCTGCTCCTGACCTGGTCATCTTGTTTCTTTTATCCAGGAATTTCTTTAATGTATCTTTTAGTTTACTGTTGTTTACTATACTGTTTTTGCAGAAATTCAACTAAAATCAAAATTAGAAAATACATTATTGCTTTTGAACAGCTTACCTATGAAATCCACACAAAAATCAGATTGGGCATTTTTGGCTGCTGTCATGCTGAAAAAGTTACCATTCATTTATATATATTGCCTTGTCAAATGCAAAACAGTAAAAAAAGGAATAGAAAAATGCAATATGAAATATGAGACAGATTAAATTTGTATTCAAAGTAAGTATTCAATTCATTTTTAATATAACTCACTCAGATGTTCAAATATAAAATGGTACTTCTTTTTGTGAAGTATTTTCTTTATACTTCAAGTTATTTTCATTTTGTGAAAATCTTTTATAATATTCTTAATATATCAGCAATGAAATGGTCAGGATATCTGTATACCATACCTTCTTTACTTAAAACAGTAGAAAGATGCTTCCATGCATTGGCCTTTATTTGTCGGCTCTTGTAAGAGGGGTGACATATGTCCCAAATGCACCTTGTATCCCGGATTGCCTCTATAAATTTTTCTTTGTCAAACTCTGCTGACATGTTAGGCAAATCCTGTAAGTTGGGTGAGGAAGTTTAATCAGAGGATACAAGTGATGTTCAAAGACAAAAGGGGGAGTCTCCCTTTATGATTTAACAAGCAACTGGTTGGATTGATCTTATTTCAGTGTGTATTTAAAACTTAAATGAAAGTCGTTTGCTGTGGTTGGCAGTTTGAAAAAAAAGATTCAACAATATGAAAATGAAATGACTGACAACAATGTTTTCCACAGTTGTTCCCGGTGCTGGGGTAGTTTTTATATGTGAAAAGCAGGCAGGGGCAAAGCCAAAAATTGTTGCAAATGTTGCAAAAAGATTACGGGGTGAGAAAAAAATGTCTTCTATTGCTCGACAAAAATCTGTTATGTGCCGACAGACAAAGTGTTGGGTGGGGGTACCACGCCCACTTACTCCCAACCCACCCTTTGCCGATGCCCCTCAAAGTAATCATATATAAATTTCAAAAAAAATTAATTAGTTTGCGAGAAGTGAGGGATTTTGACTCGATCCCTCACTCCACATCTTGACTGGCTGTATCGGTCATTTCGATTGCTGGCGGGGAAACTGCTAGTTGATTGGCCTGCGTCGCAGCAGAGACAGCCTTGAGCCAAGTTGGAATTACAGGATTTTCTATGTTGTTGGTGGCCATATTCTCACTCAAAAGTCAACGACTGATTGGTCACTTTGCAAAAGGACCGTGGTCTACTTTCTGCGAATCGAATTTTTTCGCTGCAAAACTTGAGAACATGATACCACGCATGCTCACACTGGAAAAATTTCGATTCGCGCGAAAGAATTCGCCTAGTGGAAATCAGCCTTAAGAGCAGAACACAAAATTTCATTGAAGCACCAGGTTTGTTGAAAGACTCTAAAGCCCATTCTTTCAGTAAAAAAAGATAAAGGTGCTAAGAGTCATCCAACAGAAAGTTGCAGAAAGTTGTCCTTGAAATTTAACGTTAATTGATATTTATTAGCTTACATTTTATCTAAACGGGATTAATGACAATTAACCGGCGAAATAACTTCTATTAGAAATTCATTTTTCGTTTAGTTGAGTGGAGTCAGGCACTTTCTTTCTTCAATTACTTTCGCTGATGTTGAAAAGTACGCAAAACGACAGTCTGGTTGTCAAAATACTGAAAAGGCATACAAGTTTTTTGCTGAGCCTGGCTACCTACATGACATCCATCGTAAGTTCATAAAAGATACTAACTTTTTGAAATGTTACTTCTTGAATATGGTATCAACAGGGTTTTAGCTTTGACTTGGTAGTGTCATACAACACAACCCCCCCCCCCCTCAAACATTGTAAAGACTTCGTTTTGAAAATAAGGTGTTTTACCATATAGGGGTGCTTTGGCACTTGTTGGCAAACAAATGTGGCTTCCCCACTTTGTTGGTTTCTTTCATGATATTTCCTTGATGAAAAACCTTTCTGTGAAAGGTGTGGCAGAGATAAACTGATTTTGAAAATTGAATAAAACACTAAGGAAAACAAGTTGTTAGTAAATCTATGAAATCTGGCCATAAGAGAAACAGTGCATTGATTTTATATGTAAAGGGTACACTATTCCTATTATGTCTCTGAAGTTGTTTGAGATCATCTTGGCATAATTTTGTAAATGTTTGATTTTCATTTCTGTTTTCTTCATTTTTAGTGAACTATAATGAAAACACAGCTACAATTAAAGCAAGGTGTTACCGATCCATGAAGAAAAATGAGGCCCCGCATTATTTAAATGTATTTATTTGTTTAAAAACCAATGCAATATCAGCCAAATGCTCATGTGTTGCTGGGCTGAGTGGATACTGTCACCATATAATTGGTATTTTGTTTTACCTGGCGCATTGCAAGCAGCTTGGTTTATCAGCACTTCCTGATGAGCTCACTTGCACTAGCATGAAGCAGAGGTGGAGCATACCAAGAGGTAAGAAGATTGCCCAAAATGAAATCCAAGATGTGTTGGTGAAAAAACCACAAATTGGTGCAGATTACAGTAGATTCATCAAAAGCAACTTGTATTCACCAGCACAATACTATGACATCTTAACTAAAGAACAATTCCTTGGACTTGATCCTGAGCCACTTGTGGCTACCCTTCTGCCAAGCAAAAGTCAGATTCATCAGATACCAACAGCAGCTTGCAAGTTTGGAAATGTACCTAAAGGAAGTGTCTTGTCTTACCAACAGAGTTATTCTGTGGAATATGTTATTAATGATTATACATGTACTGCCTACCCAGACCTTCCTTTAGAAACATCAGGAGACAGGTTTGAGAACAATTTTTCTCTTTGCCTTGATAAGAACAAGCAAGCATTGCTGGATTGCCTTGATGTAACAGAGGAAACGGTGAGGGACATTCATGAAAAAACGGTTTCTCAAGCCACAAGTACTGTATGGCATCTTTTAAGGAAAAAAAGAATTACAGCCAGTAAATTTGGACTTGTTGCAAAATGAATTGGCAATTTTGAGATGCTTGTTAAACAACTAAGCTCAGGTAAATATGTTCAAACTGCTGCTATGAAGAGAGGCATTGACTTAGAACCACGAGCAGCTACCATTTATGCCCAGAACCTAAGGCAAAACACAGTTAACTTGTTTCCGTCAGGGCTGATTATAAATACTAAGTCTCCTTGGCTTGGGTGCAGCCCTGATCGCAAAGTGTATGACTTATCAGCTGTGAATTCTGGTCAGAATCCTTTTGGTCTTCTTGAGATAAAGGTGGTAAAAGAGGGAGAAACAAATTTTTGCAACGTTGGTTATCTTGAACTTAACCCAGTCACTGGAGCATACAGTCTGAAAAGAAAAAATTTTTGCAACGTTGGTTATCTTGAACTTAACCCAGTCACTGGAGCATACAGTCTGAAAAGAAACCATATTTACTTCTATCAAGTTCAGTGTCAACTTGGCCTCACTGGGCTTCAATGGTATGATTTCTTTAGCTACATCAATGACAGCTTGTTTATTTGTGACCGAATAATTTTTGATAAAGAATTCTTTCAAGAAACAAAAGACAAAGTAGATATATTTTTTTTCACTTATTTTTTGTAACAACTATTCAGTGTTTAAGTCATGATCATGATTAGCTGCAAAATCTATTTCTTTTGTATTAGTGGTCCTTGAAAGTTTGTTAGCAAGCAAGCAATTGTATACATTTGGTTAATTGACCCTAATGTAGAGAGTGGAATGTCTGAATCAAAAAAAGTGATATTCTTTTATCCTTCTAATTGCTCTCTCAACATGTATCCGAAGTTTGGCAATTGTTTTTGTTTCTTGCACATCAACTGGTTTAAATTGTGTCTGTTTTTGTAAAAAGGGAGGAATATTAAGGACTACTCCTTTTTCTTTTAGTAAATCTTCCACATCAAAACCTTTATCTGCCATCACTGCATCACCTGGTTCTAGCAATTCCAATATTCCACTGCATCTTGTTATTTCTTTATCAGAGATTGACCCAGTGTAAAGAGATGACACAAAAGAAATTGCACCATGTGGAGTTATTCCTATGAGCCCCTTCATTGTGGTGTTTGATTTGTAGGATGAATGTGACTGAAGAAGCAGAGACGATGGTGTCTGTACAAATATCTCTGTACAGTCAATTATGACTCTTGTTGCTGGATACATCCTACGAAATCCATGTGGCATATACTTCTGGATGCATTCCCTTGTTGGCCAAATTGGCTTACTGCCCAAGAGAAAATACAAGTAATTTGCCCAAGTTGTTAACTTTCTACTAATGGAAGAGATATTCATTTGGAATCGATCTGCTAGATCCTGCTCAAATAAACCCAGCTTTAGCCGGACAAGGAAGAGGAACAGCTCATCAATCTGTTGAAGTTGTCTTGAAGCAGGTCGACTTCCTCTTTCTCCTGAAGCATAACAATATTTCATGAACTCAGCCCCTCTTCTAGCAAGTTCAAAGAATATTTTCAAATGGGAATAGGTTGGAAACCCAGTATAAAATTTGATTGAAGCACTGTCTGTTGAGAACCGCTCCAAACCAAATCTTGAAACTTTAAGCTGCTCCATTGTAGACCTTTGCAGGTCAGCCATCTCTCTACAAACTTTCTCCATTTCCTCTTTGGCCAGTCTTTTACTGGTCTCAAGCTCACTTTTGGTTCTGAACAGAACATCCTTTGTTTCATCTAGCTCTATTTGCAGACTCCTCAGCTCCTCTTCCAGCAGCTCCATTTTCATAGCATCATCTTCAGTATCGTGTCTCTGTTCTTCTGCAAGATCTTCTGTATCAGTCAACCTACAAGAGTACAATTACAACATGCAAAATCTAGACTTGCTTTGAAGCTAATATTTTAGAACACCTTCTTCTTAGTCTTCTTTAAAGCCAACATTCATGTATGGCAAAGGCTTTCTACATAAAGACCATTTTGTAGTTGCACTAATTATTTGCCTGGAAGTTGGCTAAATTAATGATTCTTAAGATGCTTAATATATAATCTTTAATCTAAAAAATTAAAATTTAATCTGAAATAGTAAATAACTTTAAAATAACAATGATTTTCCAAAAATATAAAATGAAACCTAATGAAGTCCAAAAAACAATGAATCCAATGATCATTTTGAATATTACCTGTTTGTGTGACGCACAATTTTTCTTTGAGTCTTTGGCTCAGCTGCCCAATCAAAAATTGAGGGTACTGCCCCTTCCTTCAAAAGTCTCAAATCTATGTCACTCTAGACTATGATATCTATACAGTCTCTATTCGATTTACCTAATACAGTCCTCTTAAGTTAATCAATTGTTTTTTCTAACGAGTTTTAATCTAACGGGTAGTCAGAAGTTAGGCTGGCTAAGCGATTTCTGACACTTCCAGGTCTTTGTGTAGTGTCTGGGAAATATTTACTGTGGTCGTTTTCAACCTTAGAAGAGCCTCGAGTGATTGTTTGTGAAGACGCATAGATCGGGAATAGTGTCAACCTTCAGCTGCTTGATCTACTGAGCCTTCTGCAATGACGTTTGCTTGACACCACCAATCACGAAATCCTAGAGCTCCGAATTGCTTGTTGAGAACTTTGAGCCACACTAAAAAAGTGTGAAAACCTCCCATTAGGCATTTTATTTTGTTGTACTTATCTGACTTTTCCATCTCTTTCCAAATGATTTGTGACATTTTGCAGAAAACAGCTTGGTCACAGTGGACGAAAATGTGGTCCAAGCGAAGACTGTCTGCTAAGTCAAGGATGTAATCAAGGTAGTACTTGCATATGCTATCATCTGGAGGATGGGGAATAGTGGGAAGGTATTCATTTCTTGATTGCGTGGTCTCAACTGATGTTACTTTCTTATTGAATGCGGTCCACGAACCAACAAACTCATCTGGAAGCTGTCTATCTTCAATGTTATCCGAGTCAAACATATCACCTTCTTGTACTTCTTTCCGATTGTCTGATGTAGAGGCAGCCAAAGCCCATGCAATATCTGTGTCAAGTCTTCACTCAAGTTCTCTCATATCTCTGTTTACCTGATAGCTTTTAACAATGGGGGGGGGGACTCTTTTTCACTCCTACTTTGTAATCGCCATAGTCAATTTGATCATATTCATCATCATTTATACTTTCATATAGAACTTCTGAGGGCTCAGACGGCTGATACTCTATTTCACCAGGCAGTGTCGGCTGATTGATTGTCCCTGTTGTATCATGGGTCGTACCAACGCCAGTTAAGGTCATCTGCCTTCCATCATTGTTATCCAGAGTTATATGTGTCGGTTTTAGTGGCTGCATGCATGGTGGGGCTGTCCTTCTTTTCAATTCTCTTGTCGTATCCTGGGCCCATTTTTTGCCTGTTTCAAGTATTGTGGTGTAACTGAGCGTGACGCCAGATTTGCTTAGCAGATTTATTACCTCTTTACTACCAGTGACTCTATGGATAACCATTCCTGATGCAAGTGCGGATGGTGATGGATTTCCAGTCAAAAGCTGTTGTTTTTCTCAACAAATGTTTTTCTCAGCATGGTTGTCTAACATAAGCTTAACCATTTATTTAGGCCAGGGCATCAATTTCTGAATAAAGTAACAAAAGCTATGAAAATATAATCTAAGAAGCTTGTTTGCAAAGAGATTATTTGAGAATGTTATTACTTTGCCGTATTTTAAAAGTTAATGATAAGAAAAGATAAAAATTGCTCACCTTTTGCGCTGAACTCCATTGATCAAAAGAACGCAATCAGACTGTACAGAAGACACATGGAAACTATCCTCGTTTTGATGTCAAGCCTCGCAAAGCTCAAAGTCTTCTACGTATGGCCATAGGAGTAATGAAGTATTAATCCTTTGAATTTACTCAAATCCAGATCGTAGACATATACTTTAATTCTTCTAAAGATAATTACATATAATTTTTTTATCTAAGAATGACGTCATATAGCCACACCCTGCCCCACCCCCAAAATATGCAATTTTGACATGCAATCATAGAAAGAGGACAACATTAGTTCAAAAGCCTTTCAATTTGGCTAATATTAGCCACTTTAAAGGCATTTAGCCTTAGAAAAGTGCGAGTGACGTAATTTGACCACGCCCTGCCACACCCACCACATAATCGAATGGTGACAAGCATATTCTGAAAGAGCATTAAATTTCACGTAGGAAAAACATTGCCACATATATCCGTTATTAATATTCGAAAGATTCTGGCCATGCACCTGTCTAATATTAGGAGATATTTACTTAGGAGATATAGAGAAATGCATAAACACTACAAAAGTGAATAGAAACAAATTAAAAGATAGAAACCAATTAAATAATAGAAGCAAATCTTACCACAATATCGGCTGACCATAATTCTAGATTAGGCACACAGCAACAGCTAGGTAGATTGAGATTCAGTCTGTGTCTACCATTTCAAACAAGTCTTTTTAGTGTGGTGAAATGATAAAATAATGAAAAATGCTCAATAATTTAGTGTTCCTTGAGCTAGAAAAGACAGATTATGTTTGAAATCATGTCTACCATATTTAATTTAAACTGGGGTTAAAGGAAAATAGCTGTTTAATCAAATGTCATAATCAAATGTCATTTCGAGTCATCTTGAACTCACTACACAAGTGGAAATTAGAACGACAGCTAACATTCTCAAGAGGTCCTTGAAAAAATATGAATCTCTGGCAAATATCGGACTTATAAAAAATATGTTTTAAAGAAACACAATTGTTTGAAGTATAAATCATCTAACATTTCACAAGCTTCACTCACTCTGAATTACAATTTTCTCGCTTCTGTAAGAAAATGTCTCCACTGCTGCTTCCTAACAACAAAGATGGCCGTTGACATGAAAGGGAGGTCCCTGGCTTTTCAGGAAGGGAGGTTGCTAAAGTTCTCTACCTCTAGCTGCATCTAATGAAGTGCTTAAGGCACTGTCGATTGCCAATTTAATATCAAAATGCAAACCGAGGTTTTTGCTTTTTCAATAGAGAGTATGCTGAAAAGTTTTTTTTATTCGATATAAAAAGTTACAAACAAGACTACCGAAAACTTTACTCAATGGAAACTGCTATACTACATAACAAGAGCCTCCTAGCACAAACAACAATATTAAAAAACGATTGGAGATTTAAAGATTTTTGTTCCTGCACTATTTGAATCCTTCGGAGGCCTGGATGTTCAAGGCCATATTGGATGACTTTTAACAAACCATGAGGCAACAATATTGCATGTACACTGTTGAGAAGATCACGTCTATTTACATCATAAGTATGGCAGCGCAGAAAATAGTGCTTCCATTTGTTTGGCATAAAGGGTTCAAAGTATCCCTAAAATTATGTTTGAATTGATGAACATTTAGCTTACTGAGTTCGACCCGTAGCTGTGTTAGGATGGACAAGCCTTTTGGATCATAAAAACGATTGACAGTGAAACTTTCTTGAAAATATTAATAGAGCTGGATAGTCTATTTTTAGAGTCAGGCCTTTCCCATTCCGATAAGCAGTTTTGGTAGAAGCTTAATTTGAAACATAGGGTTCTTTTTTCATTAGATTAGGTAATACAACATCATGACTAAAATCGCAAATAACATGTGTAGTAATGACGTATGTTATGTATCGGACACAGGGGTAAAAGGATTAACTAGAATAAGCAAGCATGTGAGCACGTTAGATACACATTAGAATTACAGATCTTGTTGTTATTCGAAGAGAGTATTTCTTTCCATACTACTACAACTCATAGAGTTTATAATGGTGACGAGGTAAACGCGACAATGGCTCAAGGTTTCCAAATACCTCCAGTGCCTGAGTTTCAGCCCGATGCTGAACTAGGAGCGAGTTTTGCTTCAAAATGGCGGACATGGCTTGCAGATTTTGAAATGTTTTTAACTGCCAGTGGAATTGCCAATGCATCAAGGAAAAGCGCTTTATTACTTTACCTGGCAGGCAGTCGTGTTCAGGAAATTTTTCAACATTTAGGGAATGCTGATGATTACGATACAGCGAAGACAAAGCTTACCACCCACTTCGAGCCTCAAAAGAATCGCCGTTATGAGGTATATCGGTTTCGTGAGACCAAGCAAGAGCAAGGGGAAACATTAGATCAATATCATACACGTTTACGAGCCCTTTCTACTGCATGTGAATTTCAAGATTTGGAATTCGAAATCGAACAGCAAATTGTTGTTGGTGGTATTTCCTCGCGAATTCGTCGAAGGGCACTACGTGACCCTACCTACCATCTGAAACAAATGTTACTGGATGGAAGACGTGAAGAAATGAGTTCCTTTCAAACTCGAGAGAATGAATCTAATGAGAATACTGCTGCTGTTGTACATCCTTTTATATCTGTCAACAAAGAAGGCAAGAAATGCTATACTTGTGGAGGGGACTACCCTCAAAAAGGGGAATGCCCTGCAAAAGGAAAGCAATGCGGAAGCTGTGGTAAACAAGGTCATTTCGCGGTCGTTTGTAGAAGTAAAGGAGACAAAACAGATCGCAGAAACAAAGGAGGCAGATCACATCGAAAGCACAAACCAAGAATTCGCCCACTCAAACATACTGAGTATTCTTCTAGTTCTGAGGATGAATATATGTACGCAATGTCTTCAGCCAGTCCACGCGCACCACAAGTATGGATTACTGTTGCAGGTCACAAATTCAAAGCTCTTGTGGACAGTGGTGCTACAATAAATGTGATTAATGCTGACACTTTTGCAAATCTAAAAAATGTTAAGCTCCTGCGCACAAGCACAAAGGCATATCCTTATCAGAGTAAAATACCAGTTGAGTTTCTTGGAAAATTCGAAAGCATTATTGAAACCAAGAAGAAATGCACTGTGGGAACAGTCTATGTGGTAAAAGGGAAGGACAGCGAATGTTTACTCTCACTTCAGACTGCACAGGAATTAGGCCTTATTAAGCTTCAATTAAATGCAGTACAAAACGCTGTTCCAAAGTCAATGACTCTTTCTGAAATTCGCGAAGAGACAAATAAAGACAGAGTTTTAAAATCACTTCGAGCTGCAATTCGTCTCAATCGTTGGGATGCTGATACTGTTAAACCTTTTTGACCTGTCAAAGATGAACTGTCTATTGATTCGTCAAATATAATACTACGTGGTGCCAGAATAGTTATACCTGAATCTTTGCACAAGAAAGCAGTTGACTTAGCCCATGTAAGTCACCAGGGATTAGAGAAAACCAAAGCACTTTTACGTGAAAAGATCTGGTTCCCTGGCATTGATGTACTTGTCAAGGAGACTATCACAAAATGTGTGCCTTGTCAAGCGGTCGAGAGAAGTAGTCCTCCTGAACCACTTCACATGACGGAAATGCCAAGTGCACCTTGGCAAAAGATTAACATTGATTTTCTTGGTCCACTTCCATCTGGCGAGCTACTTCTGGTTGTCATAGACAGATATAGCCACTATCCAGAGGTGGAAATTGTTTGCTCAACCAAAAGTTCTGTAGTGATTCCCAAGTTGGATAAGATTTTTGCTGTCCATGGTATACCCTTTGAATTAACGTCTGATAATGGACCACCTTTCAATGGAGATGAGTTCTCTCGTTATTTGAAATTGTTGGGTGTAAAGTTTACTCGCTCTACTCCAAAATGGCCACAAGGTAACACGGAAGTCGAACACTTCATGCAACCATTAGCTAAAGCGCTAACGACAGCAGTTGTAGAAGGAAAGAAATGGCAACAAGAGCTATGCAGGTTTCTATTGCAATATAGAACAACGCCTCATAGTACGACCAAGGTACCAACGTCTGAATTGTTGTTTAACAGAACAGTTCGTGGAGCATTACCAACATTAAAACCTCGCACTATTGTTAATCGGCATAAAGAAGCTAAAAATAATGAGCAGAAGCGTTGTATCTACAATAAGACCTATACAGATTTACATCACAATGCCAAAGAAAGTTCGATCAAGGTTGGAGATACTGTTCTTGTACAACAAGAGAAGAAGCAGAAATTAATGCCCAAATTCAATACTACTCCATACAAAGTGATTGCTCGTAAAGGCACGACAGTTGTTGCAGAAAACAAAGAACGACATCGTATTACACGAAATGTTTCGCACTTTAAGCAGATTCCGGACGTTAATGAAATGGATTATAGTAGCAAAGAAGAGTGTAATAATGAGCCTGAACCAGCATGTGGATATAGGAGATCAAACAGAACAAGAAGAGCACCAGTGCGATATGGACATGGACTTTCCTATTAATATTTGGTAACATTTACGTTTCTATATTTTCATATTCCTATTGTTCTGTTGTTTTGTTTTAAAAAAAGGGGGTGATGTAGTAATGACGTATGTTATGTATTGGACACAGGGGTAAAAGGATTAACTAGAATAAGCAAGCATGTGAGCACGTTAGATGCACATTAGAATTACAGATCTTGTTGTTATTCGAAGAGAGTATTTCTTTCCATACTACTACAACTCACAGAGTTTATAACATGTGGGATATGGTTTTTCTGAGGCTGCTGCATAACATTTTTCGGAAGCATACATAATTATTACACTATTACTAGGCGTAGCTTAATAACTTCAAAGGGTGATTCTTTAATTCTTTGGTTATGTCTCTTAAAATGTTTCAACTAAATTGTTAAGGCCTTTAGCATCAATGTGCAGTAATCGTTTATTACCAATTGACAGAGTCTACGACTTATGAAAACTGTGAATCTCCTTGAAAAGCTCACAAAGCATTGCATTGGAGTTAGACATTCAGTGACTCTGTACTTCAAGATGTCTGAGGTTACCTTTGTTTTGTAAATTCTAAACGTTAATGAATATTACCTCTAAACCGAAGGCGAAGTGTATCTTTCTATAGGTCTAAAATGCACGGCAAGAAAAGCCGACGTTTCCTTTTTGTTACTTTTCCGTTTTAGTTAAAGAAATTGCTCAGAAACGAACAGTTTCTACCAATCTCACCAAAAAAAATTTGTAAGAAACTTAGAATTTCTGAAGCAGTTTCCAACATCATAAATCAGCAGAAAGGTACATTTCCGAAACGTTGGCGTTTCTTACAACGAAAATGTTAAGAAATCTAACATCTCCTATGCCATTTTTGCAGAATAAATTTACGTTTCCAAAAACCCCAGTTTCTTACTTACAGAAAAACTCTGAAATTTAACTTTTCTATAGGCAAATGATACAGAATAAATTGAAATTTCCAAGAAATTCTAGTTTCTTACCTACGGAAACGGCTCAGAAATCTATCTTCTTTATGCAAATGATACTGAATAAATCTGGGTTTCCAAAAAACCCTATTATCCTTTTTCCCTTTGGAAACGGCTCAGAAATTTCAGCTTTATCTTATAAACAAAATATCATATTTATCGAAAAAGATCGGCAGGTTGAGAAAATATCAGATAAATTGAAAAGAAGATGTATCAAACTCAATTCCATGAAAATTATCAGAACATTTAATGGTGAAGACACCAATAATGCTACTAACAATAAAATGAGTTCATATTTTATACAACTACGGATAAGAAGAGTGGACTGACATGACATGTATTGACTGTAATTGCCAAGTTAAGATAAGTCAACATTAATAGATGAAACTATTAAAAATAAACTTATGGAATAAACCTATTTGATCAAGTTCTTATTATAACCGTTTATATTCGTTAGGAAGAGTGCAGGGGATGGAGATTCATATACTCAGGTGGAAAGTGAAATGGCGGCTTTAAAAGCGCATATTTGGAAAAAGGATATTTAAGAAAAACATAATTTTTCAAGATTACTCAGCTAAAAACGTATTCTATGACTAATAATTTATCTGGTAATACATTTTCAGTCAATCTACGCTATGGATACACACAATAATTTTCGTGAAAGTACTTTGTTGAAATCGTCTATCTATTTTCAATCATCGTAGTCCTCTTTTACAAATGTTTTTGTTTTCCCCCTTTTGATGGCATTCGTTTCATTGCATAAATCTTTTATTCCTTCAAATCTGTTTGCATTCTTCCGCATTTTTTGCCTCAGCCAGATGATACAGAGCTTTGGTCTCCAATGATCTTGAGAACATCTCCATGGTCCTCTTCGTCTTTTGTGCTTGAATACATCGCCACAAAGCTGATCACTGATAATGGCATTATCCTGCTGCCCAAATCTGAAAATTTTAATTTGAAGAGTAAATCGTTAAAAGCATGTTAAAAGTAAATCTTAATTCAGATTAACAGCGTTATTATAAAATCAGTTGTAACTTGGAGTTTGCGCAGTAGCTAACTTGGATGAATTTTCCAATGTGAAATTATTTTCTACTGACCCTTCATGAAAGTTAAAATTTACATACAAGACCTAGTCTTTAAACATGAGCTGACGTTAGCGTGCTCTTAAGAAAACTTACCCTCTTTCTATCCATTTTCCGTTGAAATCTGCTTGCTTTAAGGTACTTTCATGCAGGGGTTGTGAGCCAGAACTATGAAAAGAATTGCATTAAAGAATTTGATAACTGCAGATCGATCAGGTGTCCGCCAAAACAGGCGGGGAGTTAAAAATGCAACAGCTTTCGGTCGATTTCTTTAATCTTTTTTGAACATTTAGATCATTAACATTTTATATATGCTATCACAATTTTCAAAAATAGTCTTTAGTTCGTTTGTTTACGCAGGTTTTTGACAAAATCAAGGCTGAATAAAGGCCACAGAATCTCTATTCTGCTTAAAGGCCCTGAAGGGCAACTCAGATGCCAGAAAATTTGAAGTAAGATGAGGAAACGAATTACCTTTTGATTGAACCACTATTAAATTTGTTCGCTCTGTGTTCTGCTATGTTTTCTTCTGAAAGTAGAGAAAATACTTCGAAGATCTCTTTTCATGTCAGCAAACCGTTGGAATAAACTCAAGCACTCGGCCTCGAGGCAAAAGGGCGGAAATATCACCTTGACCTTTGCTACTTTAGCACGCACATTTCCGTTCACAATAGGACAGTCATTGTGAAGTGACAAATTCTGTCAACTGCCATCGATGGGCTATTGTTTGTCATTCTGCCAGCAGCGCGCTAGCATGATGTAGCCTGCATCACAGACCAAATCGAATTTGATTTCGATTTGGTCTATTTCGATTTGGTCTGTGATACAGGCTAGACCATGCTCGCGGCCTTACAATTGTCGCAAAACTAGGCACTAAGGAGAAATTTAATATTTTACTGAAAGCATCAGATTAACAAACAGAGAATTTCTCAAATAATAAAGCAAGGTTTTCATAATCAAAAATTGCCACGCCGCAGGAAGGTTGTAAAAACGAAACACAAACTTTGGCGCAAAGACTGTTTGATTGATTTCGAGCAAAACCGTTTACTCACAGAAAGGACAAAAACGATTCAATGTTAAGCCCTTAATCCTAAATCAACAGTCTTATTGGTCAACTTGCTTTAATACCTGAAATTCTCAATAATACTTCTAAATAATTTAATGGAAACAGCCGGAGTGCAAAAAGAGTCGCTAATTTTAGTCCTAAATTGACATTTTCCCCTTGAAATTCAAAATCAAGGGCAAATCAGGCAAACATCCAAAATTCATTGCAATTCGATATTAAAAACAAGTTAAAAGTTTATGAGATCATTACCCAAAAAATTAGCCGAAATCCGGCATGTAGATCTCAGTGAAAAGAAACTTCTAAGAAATTTGTAGCGTAAATTGTCGGCAAATAAACTTGCACTGAGATTCAGGGTGCAAATTTCCGAAAGAGGAAATCTCTCTGAAATTTGTAGTGTGAATATCTGATTGGGAAACTCGTATACACGTGGAAATTTCGGCAAGTAAAACTAGATGAAACTGAGGCATGGACTAAAGAGCATGGACTAAAGAGCATGATGGTATGGACTAAAGAGCATGATGTTTTCTTGGCAAGAGAAATTCTAGTAGCCAAGCCATTTGGTTTTAAGTTTGGCTCTAGGGAAAGGGGGCAGTATTAAATTTGTTCGCTCTGTGTTCTGCTATGTTTTCTTCTGAAAGTAGAGAAAATACTTCGAAGATCTCTTTTCATGTCAGCAAACCGTTGGAATAAACTCAAGCACTCGGCCTCGAGGCAAAAGGGCGGAAATATCACCTTGACCTTTGCTACTTTAGCACGCACATTTCCGTTCACAATAGGACAGTCATTGTGAAGTGACAAATTCTGTCAACTGCCATCGATGGGCTGTTTGAATTTGTAGTGTGAATATCTGATTGGGAAACTCGTATACACGTGGAAATTTCGGCAAGTAAAACTAGATGAAACTGAGGCATGGACTAAAGAGCATGGACTAAAGAGCATGATGGTATGGACTAAAGAGCATGATGTTTTCTTGGCAAGAGAAATTCTAGTAGCCAAGCCATTTGGTTTTAAGTTTGGCTCTAGGGAAAGGGGGCAGTATTAAATTTGTTCGCTCTGTGTTCTGCTATGTTTTCTTCTGAAAGTAGAGAAAATACTTCGAAGATCTCTTTTCATGTCAGCAAACCGTTGGAATAAACTCAAGCACTCGGCCTCGAGGCAAAAGGGCGGAAATATCACCTTGACCTTTGCTACTTTAGCACGCACATTTCCGTTCACAATAGGACAGTCATTGTGAAGTGACAAATTCTGTCAACTGCCATCGATGGGCTGTTTGAATTTGTAGTGTGAATATCTGATTGGGAAACTCGTATACACGTGGAAATTTCGGCAAGTAAAACTAGATGAAACTGAGGCATGGACTAAAGAGCATGGACTAAAGAGCATGATGGTATGGACTAAAGAGCATGATGTTTTCTTGGCAAGAGAAATTCTAGTAGCCAAGCCATTTGGTTTTAAGTTTGGCTCTAGGGAAAGGGGGCAGGCATGGGATAAGGTTGCTGAGACATTGAATTTGGTGCAACAAATTAAATTCACTGTAGATCAGAGGGGTGTAAGGGAGAGATATGCTAAATTAGAAAAGGCCTATAAAAAACGTTTGAGGGAGGAAGAAAGAGCAAGTGGAATTAGCCCTGAAGTAAGTGAGCTTGATGAAGCCATCGAAAATTTAATAGAGGCATCTGAAAATGCAGAAAAGGAGCTGATGGAATCCCAAAATAACAAGAACAAACAGTCGGAAAAAGAAAGAGAAACAGCAGAGAGTGTCAGGAAAAGATCAATGGAGAGACTGTCTCAGACAAGGGACAGAGAGGGCCAAGAAAGTTAAAAAAAAGGAGAGATCTGGCATTGGCATGGTTTAGTATTTACAGGATAAAGAAACCAGAGAAGAAAGCCAAAAAAGGTTGATATTGATATCAGAGAGAGACAATTACAGCTTTAAGAAAGGATGCATAATGACATGTATCTTATAAAGGAGCATGAAATCAAGTTAAAAGAAAAAGAGTTGGCTATTCTTGAAAAACAGCAGGAGGACAGGGACAAGAGGGGTGGGGAATTGTTGGACTCTATGAAAAAAATTATTGAGCAACAGCAGGAGATAATCAAACAATAGCAAGAACAAAAAAATATAATAGCTTCGCTGGGAAATGGCAATAATTATCTTTGACAAAATATTTAATTTCAATTTTTGCTGTAATGCTGGCTGTGTATTTAAAAATTAAATTTTCTTCTATTTAAATCCTTAATTGATTTTTGTCATGTGTGTTACTTGTGAAAGACTTACGGCGAATTTGGTAGCTTTTAAAAAAACTGTTTGTGGTTTATAGGTAAACCTTTATGAAGGGATTACTCCCTGCTAAAATATTGATCAAGGGCTGGAGGTTGAACATAAAAAAAAATTGGATGTGCTGTTCCCATAGAGGCAAGTCATAGCATTACGAAGAAGGGCACACACAATATAAAACTTTCCAATAGCACTGAGTCCAATCTTTAAGTCTTTCTTGAAATCGGTAAACTTAAAATAGTTTTTGATGTCTTAAAAGACCCATTCAACTGAGACTCTAACCTGGCTCATAGATTGATTGAAGGCTTGCTCTTCACGCACAGCTCTCCTTGCGAACGGGCATTGGAGGTGGACTCTGTGAGGGTAGGCAGGATCACCGTAGATGCACAGTGGCTGACCTGTTGGTGAAAAAGAATGTCTCCAGCTCCTCCAACAGACCAGAAATTGCCAACATCCCACTGCCGTGTTGCCTTCCTTCAACTGGTCCAAACAAATTAGCAATTAGACCATTGGGTGCAACAACTGACTGAAACTTTATCGCATGTACTCTCTTATGCCCATTGTAAAGTACTCGTTGGTTTTGCTTTGGCCTACAAATAGGTCACACAGTACCACCGATGAAACCGCAGCAGTTATCGAGAGCAGCGCCTTTCTGATAAATTGCATCTGCATATCTTTGTAAATTTTCTCTTGAAAGAAAAGGCTGGTTTAGACTTCTCAATAGCCGTCCGTGTGTGTCAACCATAAAGTCAATCACTATATTTGTTATCATGCAGAGCTGTGGAACCGGCCTACCAAACCTCGGTACTAAGTCTGCATATCGACAAGGATATGCCATACGTTTGAGACAGGTGCATAGAGCCTCGATGGAATCGACAACAACGCCATTCGCACATCTAAAATCCGCGGAGAGACGAAGTGCAACAGCAAAGTTATAAATGTCCTCCTTCTTAAAACGAAACTCAACCTAACATTCGCAACCAAACAACAAAAATGGCCGTTGACATGAAAGGGATGTCCCTGGCTTTTCAGGAAGGGAGGTTGCTAAAGTTTTCTACCTCTAGCTGCATCTAATGAAGTGCTCAAGGCACTGTCGATTGCCCCTCTTGTCTAATCATTGTTCGGCTGGAAATTTAATATCAAAATGCAAACCGAGGTTTTTGCTTTTTCAATAGAGAGTATGCTGAAAAGTTTTTTCATTCAATATAAAAAGTTACAAACAAGACTACCAAAAACTTTACTGAATGGAAACTGCTATACTACATAACAAGAGCCTCCTAGCACAAACAACAATATTAAAAAACGATTGGAGATTTAAAGATTTTTGTTCCTGCATTATTCGAATCCTTCGGAGGCCTGGATGTTCAAGGCCATATTGGATGACTTTTAACAAAGCATGAGGCAACAATATTGCATGTACACTGTTGAGAGGATCACGTCTATTTACATCATAAGTATGTAAGCGCAGAAAATAGTGCTTTGATTTGTTTGGCATAAAGGGTTCAAAGTATCCCTAAAATTATGTTTGAATTGATGAACATTTAGCTTACTGAGTTCGACCCGTAGCTGTGTTAGGATGGACAAGCCTTTTGGATCATAAAAACAATTGACAGTGAAACTTTCTTGAAAATATTAATAGAGCTGGATAGTCTATTTTCACAGTCAGGCCTTTCCCATTCCGATAAGCAGTTTTGGTAGAAGCTTAATTTGAAACATAGGGTTCTATTTTCATTAGATTAGGTAATACAACATCATGACTAAAATCGCAAATAACATGTGGGATATGGTTTTTCTGAGGCTGCTGCTGGTGGGAGAAAAGGAGGATCAACCCTTAGACATAAAGAATGTCTCAAAATCTTTTACAAAATAGCGTTATAGAAGTGACACATATAATTTCAAGATCTCCTAACTTACTAGTACTGGGAAGTCGGGCTTTCTCAAAAAGCGGCACTTACTCAAGGTGTTTTGCTCCTTGGGATGCTGTCAAGGAGCTGCCCGACTATTAAAATTTTTCAACAGCTTGCCAGTTTCCTACCAATCGCTTTGCCTTAGTCTAGAGGGAATAATCTATTATTTTCTTTAAGGTTGATGTTGAATGGTACGGATGCCCTATTCAAGTGAAATGTTCCATCCAACACAGGTGTTTGATTCCAGAAAGATTGATGGTGGATAGAGACATGTCTTATGGGAAAGTGTGAAAAGAAAAGACTTACTTTGATTTACCGGCTCACTTCTCTATATAACCATTCTCGGTAACTGAAAAAAATCAGTTGGAATCAGTCTTTACATGATACATTAAAGATGAAGCGATCTTCCGACAGATGAAGTAAGGTTTTTGCTCTAGTCGGCTTGAATTATACATAGATTCATCATTTCAGTCTCAGGTAACAAGGCTATATCTAATGGTCTATATTCTTGTTCTAGGTTCCAGTGGGGGTATGGTTGATGGAGAAAAATTGAAGACAGAGCAACCCGAGACTACTGTGAAAGAGCAACATGTTGATGTTGAAGGTAAAATAATATTGTCTTCTGTCATTACTAGGACACATAGTTCCTGTGTTCTGTCAAAACTAATATTGAATGAATGAGAAACCGTAGCAAACCAGATAGATATTTGGTATGATAAAATTAGTTATCTGTATGCTGTTTCCGTCAATCTCTTGCTGTAAAAATTTAGGACATACAATTTTCCTGTCACACGTTATCCAGGCGCTGCTATTTATTAGATCAGATTATCTTTCTTTTTGAAGCATTCGTAATTATTACACTATTACTAGGCGTAGCTTAATAACTTCAAAGGGTGATTCATTAATTATTGGTAATGTCTCTTAAAATGTTTCAACTAAATTGTTAAGGCCTTTAGCATCAATGTCTGTAATCGTTTATTACCAATTGACAGAGTCTACGACTTATGAAAACTGTGAATCTCCTTGAAAAGCTCACAAAGCATTGCATTGGAGTTAGACATTCTGTGACTCTGTACTTCAAGATGTCTGAGGCTATCTTTGTTTTGTAAATTCTAAACGTTAATGAATATTACCTCTCAAGCATGTCTGAGGCTATCTTTGTTTTGTAAATTCTAAACGTTAATGAATATTACCTCTAAACCGAAGGCCAAGAGAAAAGATGGTTGGCATTTGAATCAAATGGAACATTGTGGATAAGCATGGAACAAGTGAAGGCCGAGTTCACAAAAAATCCACAAAGCTTGACTCTCCGCAGCAGAATGCACAGATTGAAGATAAATTGCAAGAAACCTGAGGGGATCCTGCGCTTGAAGCTCGAAGAGAAATTTGGACCACATAAAGGTGGGCATTACGTCATCCCATTAGACAGTCTTCACTTGCTGCTACAGAAGCAGAGTGTGCTTCAACTACCACAAGCAGCAGTCGCCAATGTGGAGGCGGGTACAAGTTACGAAGCAGCTTCAAGCATGCAGGATGGAGTGTCTTCATTTGAAGTGTTCTTCGAGAAGCTCCGGGAATTCTACACGGATGAAATAAACCCGTTAAGACCATCAAATGGTATGACAGCAGGGACAATCTAACGCCACACAAAAAGGTTAAAGAAGTTCTTTGAACATGAAAAAGAGACATATAACAGACCCCCACAAATAGAGGATGCTACAAACATCAACTCTGTTAGTGTATATGTGGCAGAATTGAGGAGAGAGCTAAACGTGGGTACAGTCGCAAACCATATTCAAAGGCACATAGTGGCAGCAAATTATATTCTGAAAAAAGAGGGCCTAACAAAAAGTTGGCAAGAAATAGCAGAAATAACACAATTGAGGCACATGCAGGCCCAATTGCAAGTGAGTATTCCAGTTCACCTAAGCTATATATATTTTCACTTTTCATTAGAAATTCTACAATAGGAACTTGAGTTGCATTTCATTCTATATCATAACATTAAACTCTGGTTGCCTAAATTCTACTGTCAAGAATGGTTGATGAAGCCAGCCGAAGTAGAGTCATTTATTATTTTAATTTTTTTTTAAATTCTTTTTGACTACATTGGATTTTCCTTTCCTTTCTTTTTACACATACATTTTACACATCGCTTTTTGATATTTTTAGTTGAAATTTACCACTGTTTCCTGGTGTGGGCAGTCTTCTCTCATTCTTCTGCACTTTGTGATGGAGCTGCGATGGCTCCCCTGTGTATCTGGTAAAGGGAGGGGCAGTGCGGGTGAATGACTCGGCCTTGGGTGTTGGCTTGAAAGCACAACCCGATAGCTCAGCGGTAGAGCACTTGACATACAAAGTCAGGGGTCGTGAGTTCGAGCCTCGCTCGGGTCGGTTATTTTCCCGCACTCTCTATTAATTATCTTCGAAATCCTGTTGTCTGTAAATACTTTTATTGTTCACCACAGTGAGCCCATCAAGGAATACAGATTTGATGAAACTAAAAATACTATTTGACGAGGAACAAGGGAGTGTTTCAGAAAACTACATTTTATTTATAGAAAATGGCACTCGAAATAATTGATGCTTGACACCGAGATTCGATTGCACCTATAAGTCGAAGAGGTTTTAAAAATGTTTACTTCCCATTTGCCTGTGCCGCCTTCTTTTAATATTAGATAGTTGTTCGTCTTATCTCGCTTTTCATCCTGCTCTTGTACTATCTTTAGTCGTATCATGTCAGTGTTTCTTGCCTGATTAACAGTGGCAAACATTAAATGAATTAAAAAATCATGATATAATTTTGCCTTATTTATTATCGTGCTACAAAATGTTTTCAAAGGAAGAAAAAATACGGGTGCAATAGAGTGGACATCTCCAGTTACGATTATGTCAACCAACATCTACGTAAATATGTTGAGGAGAGGGAGAAGCTTATGTTGAGTAAGAGACATGATTTTCTTCTAATGAAGGGCACAGGGCAACCATTTGACACATCTGAGTCGTTTACTGTTTACATCGAAAAGGCGTTTCAGCGACACAATGGGGCTTGAAGTTCACAACTACGACCCTCTGAAAAACTGGCGAATGTGCAACGAGAAGGAGGACGAAGTAAGAAATTCAGTTGCAAGTCTCATGAGCCACTCACCACGAGTTCAGCGCCTTCCCTACAACACAGATGATTCAGCAAGAAAAATAAAAAGGGCTGCTGACCACCTCACTTCTAAAACATTGACTATTTTGGGAGAAAACGAGAATGACACAGAAACCAGAAGCAGAAGATACCCCTTTATAAATTTCACAAGGTTCAACGAATGTTAATAATTACATTATTTTAGAAAGAGATTGCTAATTTCGAATTTTTAGCTGGTCGTATTTTAGAAATTATTTAACATTATTTGTAACAATATTTTATCTTTCTGATCCGAGGTTGTCAACATAATCACTTGCCTTTGCCTTTTTTCAATCTTTATATGCACGTTTGAATTAATGCCTGTGTCATTTTCCATTAAGTAAGGTTAATTGATTGATTTGCGGAAAGCTCTATTTACTTTTCGGTCCTATTTCTTTTCTATTTACTTTACAACATATCCAACACAGTTTGCATGCTTTCTAGGCATATCAATTTACGGTATATTATTCTCTGTCACCAATTCTATATACCAAAGCAGAAAACGTAATTAGTAGATTGAAATGGGCATGCCGTAGCATATCCTTGGCAGTATTTCATGCTTTTTGTATGCGGAAACAAGTTTACTTGCTCACTTAGCATGAACAAAGATGATGGGAGCTGAATTGATATCAAAATGATCGTTATCTTTTAGTTTAGTTTGTATCTAAGGTAAACGTCAATGACTCATTTCTAAAGAAATAAATTAGAAATTGGAAATTTTATCAATAGCTAGATCGTCAACGAAAAGGTTTTTTGAGTTACATAAACAATTTTGCATGGTTGTGTAGTGTACCTAACCACCTCAGCATTATTATGATTAGCTAGTAAAAGCTTTGTTGTCTTTCATTATAACATCTTCAAAAGGTTCCACATTACTCATGGAGTTTGTGGCCTCCCCACATATTTCATTTGTTGATATGTTATCATTTGCTTCCATGGTTGTGGTGCTTTCAAGCTGTTTGGAAATTTGCTGTTTATTTGTAAGTTTTTGAATATAAGGCTTAAAAAATAACCCGTTTTTACGCTTAAAAAGAAAGTAGTGTTTATTATCTTTAAGGAATATCCTCCTTTCTTTATCTACAAATGCTCAAAAATGGTGCTCAAAATAATTGATGCTTGACACCGAGATCCGATTGCACCTATAAGTCGAAGAGGTTTTAAAAATGTTTACTTCCCATTTGCCTGTGCTGCCTTCTTTTAATATTAGATAGTTGTTCGTCTTATCTCGCTTTTCATCCTGCTCTTGTACTATCTTTAGTCGTATCATGTCTGTGTTTCTTGCCTGATTAACAGTGGCAAACATTAAATGAATTAAAAAATCATGATATAATTTTGCCTTATTTATTATCGTGCTACAAAATGTTTCCAATTCATATTTCATTTTCTTTAATAGTTCCATGGCTTGTCCCCAAAGATAGTTTTTTTTCTGTTCATGTTTGTGTTTTTACTTCTTCTCTCCTTTTCATACTGTCTCTGTTAAAGTAAAGTGAATGCAATCAGCAACAAAAACAACACCATCAAGAAGGAAAATGCATAGAAAGTGCGTAATGCAAAGAAGTAACCGACAGCACAACCAACGCTTTAATATTTTAAAAGCATATCTTATATCATATTTGCTATTGGATGCCATGTTGATTAATAATCTATAATAGACTTCCATTGAACAACTGATTTACTTCAATATCAAAATAAGGGGTTCTATTCACATTGGGTCTTACATATTTTTCTTCATTGTTCGATCATTAAACATGTATAACTGTGAATCGTTTTTTCCTACTGCTAATAAACTATTGTTAGGAAACTGATAGATCAGTAATCGATTGCTGGGTTACGGAGACAATTTACAATAATTTGGCAATCTTAGTCACTTTGGCCATTCTGAGTTCACTTGAAACCAAAATATAAACTCTCAATTAAAGTGGATGACTTCAAATTAAATGCTTACCTGTACCTAAGACTGTATTCTTTTTAGCTGCACAATCTCTTTGATGTCCATTAACTTTCCACAATTTCTCTTGATAAATTTTGCAATATTCAAAAAAATTCAAAATTTTTTTTTAAGCGGAAAAACGGGTGGTCAAATACTTTCCCACATTGGCTCCCATCAGAGGACGAGCTTCTGAATTTGGATATAGTGCTTCCAAAAAAGCTTGAAGTTTCGATCAGCACCCTTCTCACCAAACAGAAAAATCCCTTGAGTCGAAAACAACAGCGAATCCAGACAATCGGGCAGACATTGTGTATTCCATAAAGAATGGCGAAGATGGTACAATGAAGCATGTGTTGTTATCGTTATGTGCAAAGAGAAATACTTGTTGGTGAAAACCTTGTTGTTCAATGTACTTTTGTTCCACTACTCAAAAAAATTATGGTTTGTTACAGCTGAATTACTTCAAAATACCCCTGGCGGTGCTGAATGGAAATGAATTTAATTTTTGATCTTTTGACAGTCCAGATAACGAATATAGCAGCCTCTTTTAATCAATTTTCCTCTTGACATTATGAATGTTACTTTTTGAGAACAATATTCTTTGACTCGTGCACCAATAAGAAAAACTTGCACTATGTTTTATCCAATTTCAGGTACTGAACTGGCTAAAAACGTTTGGACATGGAATCTCCTACGATGAAGTATGTTATTTGGAGATAAGCTTAGCAAAGCAGCAAATTCAATTCCAGTTCCAGAAGAATTTCATACGAGCTAAAATTCAGCCATCCAAGTTTGTCACGTTTGTCTGGGATAACAACAACATCAACCTGGAAACCTTGACAGGAGTTAGCATGCATTGCACCCATGGTATAGTTATTCAAGTGTCATCAGATGCTATTGAAACAGTGCTGAACATTGAAAGGGCGCTTTTCTTTATGTCCGAAAGGCAAAGGTTGTTTCAAGCAATGCAGACTTAAATTGAGCCAGTTATCCGAAAGAAGAGAGTGAATCCTGATTCCTTCAACATCGAGCTTAGGCCTGTGGGTGAATGTGAATGCGCGTCAAGAAATACTGACTTTTTCTGGGTTCTCTTGAATGAAGCAGCTTGTTGCGATCTTCAGTATGCTATCCCAAATTGGACTGGCTTTAACTGTCTTTTGGCAAAAAAATACGACATGCATCACGTGGTTGCATATTTGCCTGCCATCGATCAGTCGCCAACAAAACTCAAGACAGTTAAAGAAGTTTTGCTCCAATCAAAGATCAAAGCAGAAAAACTTGGTTTATTTGAGACAGAGGTCGTTCTAGACCTTGCGATATACGCAAAGGTAGTTGAAATTTTGATAATGCCTCAACATTCTGAGATGAAGAGCTTCATTGTTCTACGTATGGGTGCTTTTCACACGTCTTTGATTTTTCTTGCAGTTATTGAAAAGAGATTTGGTGATGCAGGACTTCGAGTGACGATCGACTTCAAATTTCATTCATACAGTACCGTTGTCTCTATTTTAGCAATGACAGCTACCACAAAAACGATGAAATGTTCCCTTTTTCAATTATATCATTTGTTGGTAGACACATTCAAGGCAACCATGATTTCATGTTCTTTTCTAATTGCTACTCATAACCTTTCAACATGTGAAGACTCTGTTGACAAAGTTCTTAAAGGGAAGCACTATAACAACTGCATACGTTTTTGATGCCCTAAGAAGACTGAAGATTGAAGGCTTTGAGCAGTGGCTGATTAAAAAAGATGGAAATAATCACCTACGCACATTGACGTCTTCGCCAGAATTTGAGAGAGTCCTTGATGAAGTAACTGGCTCAAAATTTCAAAGCCTTTTGATGAGACACTGTACCGTTCTTGGGTTTTTAGATGAGTACGAAGATCATCTCTCTGATTGAACTGAGGCAGGGCCAATGGCTGCATTCTGGCAGTCATTTCTACAAATGATGAACATTTTGTTTGCATTCATTCGTTCTGTTAGGACTGCCGATTGGCAACTCCATATGTATTCAACACAACATATGTATTGATTTCTTAGTTACTACTGGGCTGAAATGCAGAAAATTCCAGTAAAACATCCTGCAATCTATGTTGAGTTTAGGTGAGCTGTCTTACTTTGGCTATTTTCATTGATCCTGTAAAGGAAAAGTTATAAAACATTTCATTCTAGCTATTTAAGACAGAATGTATGGCCTTTTCCAAAGATTCATATCGACTTTTCTTTGAATATAGGTAGTTTAAAAATTGTTTCAAGATTCTGCACACAAATTGGCTGTAGAGCTTTTGTAAAATGATATGGTTCTACTGTTATGTTTTAAAACGCAAATTTCTTTCACAGAAATGGATTTTTCTCTGTTCGCCAACAGCCGGGTTTCTTGAACGCTCTCCTTTCCGACCAAGTCATTGAGCAAACAATTAATAAGGAGCAGAAGTGCCGTGGAGGAATCACTGGCTACAGTACTTCAGCTGGCACAATTCAAAGATGGGTGCTCACAAGCCACAGTGTCGCTAAAGCATTGCACAAGATGAAAGTATCTTAGGCATAGAGGACAGTTTATCTGAGAAAAGATGTCAAGAGTGCAAGAATGCTTTTTGATGAGGGAGCAGTATCACGAGCCTTTGAAATACTTTCAATCTTTTCATTCTATTCTCTTCTCATAGGAATCCATTCTCTTCAAGCGACAGGTTGATAAATATTGCATCTGGTCTGGAGGCACACCCGAAGTCAAACAAGATCTACTGCAAACAAAGTATATTAGGGAATCTGTCCTGAATGATTTTTTAGAGCAGCCAATCAAACGAGTGTTGTTCCTTTTTACGATGCCATCAAGAAATGCAGATTAAAATCCTTCTCCTCTCTCAAAATAAAGAAGATTTGCAAATGTTAAGGAAAAAGCAATCACCATCAGTACTGAGAGAGATGCCAATCTCCTGGTTGTTGGAGAGAAGAGAGATACTGTCAGCATGAGGGATCTTTTAACATACTCATTGGGACCAATTCCCTGGCCTCTGTAGCCGAAGAACTTTTCTCGAAGTAAGAAGAAGCAGACACAAAAGCAGTCCTTTTCGTTTAGCGTGTGCGATCGCACCCGCATACGCCTGCACACGCGCAAGTTAAATTGTGCATGCTTTTGACCACACGCGCAAACAGGTGTTTTTGCAGTTTTCTGTTAAAGGGCCTCTCCAGCCAAATTTTGCACTTGCATTTTATTGGCAATTTTTATAAAGAAGTTGAGCCTGCTGATCACGAATTCGTTATTTGTTTTTTGATATTCTTTTACAGTTTGTGAGATATAAGCTCTTGCATTTCGATAATTGAATTGAATTAACCGACACAAATTGTTGGTTTGGTGACACTGTGACGCAATTTTGACGTCACAGTGTATTTCGGATAGTCTCGCCTCAAACCGAATCGAACGACGGCGATTCGCAAATTGAACTCTGCAAGTGATGGTACTCTCAGTTCTGTTCCACCAGCTTTCAGTTTGAGCATTTCAGACACCAATTCTGAAGCCTTTAGTTGTCCATCGTTTCTGGAGAACAACTGAAGTGACCATTTCGATTAATTATATGCGAGGGAAGAGCTGGAACAGGAACTGGAACTGGATGCAGTTATCAACGCGTGACCATGAGTCCTTCGCGCTTCGGTGGAAGATATATGAAATTCATGGCGAACGAGAGCCGCACATTGTGACGTCAGAATGTCACCAAACTGATTCGGCTTTTGTCGTTTTTTTTCTCGGAAAGATGCAACTTTAAAGCCTTACAACTTCTAAACTAATTGGAATTTTGGAAAAACAATGACTTTGTCATAATACACGCACCAGAAGCTAACTTTTAAGTCATTAAAAAAAATTTTTTTTGCTGGAGAGGCCCTTTAACATCAATTTCCCATGGTCTCATGATTGTTTATCCTTTCCCTTGTCACTTGATTCGCACTTTTGACCACAATATGATTTTTCCAATTTTCGGAAGTGATGTTTGGGTTTTGACTGAGTGCTCCATTCAACTTAGCGTCTGGTCTTTCAGCTAAGTCGCCATTAGCATGTTAAGTGTAATAACTGATTTCCTGTCAAAACGTAATTAGGCCCTGAAAGCAAGTAGCTGTTGGAAACAATTTTTACTTGCTCTTGTAACTTTGGAGAGTGACGACGACTTTTAAAAGATGGCTGCTAAGGGCAACAAAATCTGTTATGTATTGATTAATTGAGTTTTGCTCTTGCACGTATTCGAGTGGCTTTTCCCATCTTGCTCCTTTTACCAATTTTATCAGGTTTACGGCAGAGCAAACATTTTACGACATACTAAAAGCTTTTTCGTCTGACACTCCTCAGAGCATAAAACGTCAGAATAGGTTTCGAAAAAAACACGATGGAAAAATAGATACCCAGTTGTGGATCGAAATAGGCCAATCAGAAAAACGCAAGCACAAGACCGGTATAGCTGACCAATCAGTGCCGCGAGCCTAAAGAAAAATTACCAATGGAGTCCAAGAGAGAAAACAAACTCCTTTTGTCTACACAATGGCGGCTTTTTCGTTTTTATGTAGATTGACTCCAAAACTGCTAGATGGAAGGACGACCGGGCTCTGCCAATTATCCGATTATCTGCCAATTATATAAAAGGTGCAACTTTAAAGCCTTATAACTTCTAAACTAATCGAAACTTTGCATAAACAACAACTTGCCATAATACACGCACCAGATACTAACTTTTTAGTCAATAAAAAAAAATTTTTTTTTGGCTGGAGAGGCCCTTTAACAGCGTCAGCAGCATTTTCATAATTTTTTTTGCGGTTAATCTGTCAAGTCAATTGGAGTGAAACAAAGGAAAAGGTGTGCGACTAAAAACAAATTGTACGGAATTCCTGGAGGAGAGTGAACTATAGCGGAAGGGGGGGGGGGGGGCTCATTCATTTTTAAAGAAATTGCAAGGGTCAGAGACCTTCATCGGAAATCTCTTTTTAAAAAGGTACAACAAATGTAAAAGGCAAATAATTTCGACATATACTGTTTAGCCTGCCTGCAGAATCGACTTGTCTGCCTTTCAGAAATTTCTGTCAAAAGTAAACTTGGTTTTTTTTAAAAAGGGGTTAGCCACTCAGAAAGCAAGTCAGTAACTTATTATACGATATTCGTCCAAGTTATTTGTCTAAATTTTCGCATTCATCATCCTCAGATGCCTCATCAAAGCCATCTTCATCAGTATCAGCCTCATCCATTTCCATGTGAAACCTATACACAGTTTTCTGTTTCCGTTTAACAAACCGTAGTAAGAATTGGGAATACAATCAAAGGAAACAGTTTCAGTAAATTTAATACACAAAATTTCCCACAGCATAAAATAAAGGAACTGTTAAATACATTCTGATTAATTTATCTCGAGTTAGTTACTAACAGATATGCGCAATGACATAGGCCTTCTCAGTTACAGCAAACTTACACATCATGCACTTAAAGTGCCTATGAAATGAGTTTTTCAAG